TATCTTCAGTATGCAAACTTTTAACTGCACTGACAATTTGTAATGCAAAATTAATTTTATCATTCCAAGAAAGATGTTTAAAATTATTTTTTAAATACGATCTTAAAGTTCCGCTATCTGCATACTCAAGAACAAGCATGTAATGTATAGAGTTCGGACTTGTTTTATCTATCACACATTTAATAATATCATATATATTTCATTTAATGTGTTTTACTTTATCAAGTTTTTTACAAATAAAAAAAAAATTTGGTAGTTTAGAAACTGACTTTACCTTCATTTTTAGTAACACCATGTAAACGTATGATATTAGAATGCATATCTACTCTACTATGTAATTTAAGCTACGCAGATTGTATTTTATAGAAATAAATAACATTGTAGTTGTAAGGTTATCTACTGTAACAATTAATAATAAGCAGACTACCTCTTTAACGACTTCTCTAATGGCTACATTATTTTTAAATGATTTTATTGCGACTGTAATATCGTTATTTTTGAGAGTGGCACTGTACACTTTTCCATATCCTCCCTCTCCAATTAGCTTAACATCTTTGAAGCAAGAATATTCGTAAAATTCAATATGCTCTTCATTAAAACTATTTTTAATTAAGTCTTCAGATGGGTTCATCTTTTAAGTACAGACGTACGTACGTACGTACTAGGTGATAAATCGACTAAATTTATCTGCAAATATTTATTTGCGTCCGTAACACAATCCTTATTGATATACACTAATTACGTAACACTTTTATATCGAAAAGTAACCATCTGTTTTGATTTTGGGTTGTATCGATATTATACACTTAAGCCGGAATTAGCTTTTTAATTCACAAGTACTATTAAAAAAACTATTTAACTAGCAGGCAACATTAAATCTTAAATATAGTGAAAAGTTGCAATATAACACAGCGAAAAAACTATCATATACAGTCAGACCTCTCTAAATGCATAGCGTCGGACTAACAAAAAACCTTGCATTTAAAGAGGTATTGCATTTAGGAAGGTAAAAATCTATAAGTAGCATATGAGTTGGGACAAAGCTAAGCCATGCATTTAGAGAGGTCATGCATTTAGAGAGGTTGCATTTAGGGAGGTCTGACCGTATTATCATTTTTTAATTACAGTAATATATCAATTCACATTCTTTTTTGGCAAATATAAACAGTCTTTACAAAAAAAAAAAAAAAAAACCTGGCACTATAATGCTGCCAAGGATCTTACATGCAAGTTATAATAGTAAAAAGTCTACAACTAACATCAGATAAAATCAATTGTTATTTGATGTCATTATAGATAAATTATCAAATTTAAAATTTGCAAAGTGATCATAATTAGCAATTTAATTATTTTACTATACATGTTTGATAAGTATAGTAGAGTACTTGCATCACAATAAAAATGGTGAAATTTTTTTTTATATATATTAATATTATTCAAGACTCGATTTAATTATCGTATTTTCATGAAATAATAGGCATAGGTGTTATTTAGAAAATAGTCTCCCTAAAAATAGCGTATACTATTGAACCTCCCTAAATGATTTTGTCAAATCGATAACCTGTTAAATTTACCAAGTCCCATTTTCGCTAATAGTTTGCAATGTTTTAAATCTGATAACCTCTTAATACTGATCATCACGAAGTTATAAAAAAAAATAATAAATCTAGATGACTAACCCGGGTTAATCAATCTAAAAGACGTTGAAAAAAACGGAGCATTAACATTGCAATCATTAACTAAGTTGTTAAATATCTAGTTGTATATTATGCTGATTATTATTAAAATTACAATAATTAAACTACGAGTTGAAGTATAAAATCTGTCCATGCATACGAAATAAATTTTTCATTTTAATTTGTATATAAATTAAAATTTTTTAATCAAAATTTTGAATTGCTTTAGAAATACTGGAGATAAATTCACTGGTTTAAGTACAGTCCTGCAATAAGTAATCTTATTAATTATTAAATTTAAAACTCATCGTGCTGAATAGAGTTCGGAATCGATTTTTTGGGCAAGTTTCTTTTCGTATCACATTATACTAAATATGTTTTTTTTTTAACTTTGAAATTCTGGCATGTTTATTATTTATCTTTATTCAACTGCAATATATGAAAATGCACTTGACATTCCTTCCGAAATCAGCTTGTTGCAGGATAATATGGGGTTTTGCCTTGAAAATCATATTATAGAACATATGATTTACTATATCTCATAACGTGATTTTCAAGGCAAAGACCCCATATCTCAAATTTTTATTAATAAAATGTCTATGAAGGCTGACCCGGTTGAACTGGCAAGCCCAATGCGATAGTAAAAGCTTGTAAGCTTTATATTTTTTATATTGGCTGTACAGCTCATACGTTGCATATCTCTGTCATTGATGGATTAAAAAAAAAAAATAGATGAATTAATTGTAAAAGCAAAGCAAAACGACTTGATACCTAGCTAAGACTGGGTCGTTCGTCGGTTGGCATTTTTTTGCAGTTAAAGTCACAGGCAGTAAAATTTCTAATGAATATAAACAGATATTCATTAAAAAATTTATATGAATGTTCGAATTTTCATTTTTAACACTATTAGACCTTTAACCCATTAATCATTGTTTTATTCATAATTTAGAAATACAAAGCGCTTTTAAATATATACATTGTAGGATTTCCAAATAATAGTTAAATATACAATCAATGAGTATCTAATAAATATAAACAATCATTATAATAATACGCAATAAACAATCGTTTATAAATAAATGCGAAAAAAAAAAAATATAACTTAACACCCAACAAAACCGACCTAATTTAGTTATTTATATTGTAAAAATGATGTTATAATTTACATATTAATCGTCATCATCATAATTTTGATAAGTCTCCCTTATAATGAAATAAGCTGCATCACAATCGGTCCAGTAATTAAGATGATCTGTTATAGCGGATATGTAACCAACGTCCAATATCCCTTGCTGTTTGATAAACAATAATCATTAATCAGTTTAGAATTTCATTAAAAAAAATATAAATTTTAACATGGTTAAAGATAATAACCTGTAAACAATAATCGATTCTTCCACTTTTGTTTAAACTTTTCAACTTTTCTTCACCACTAATTTGATAATCTATTTGCCTATCTTCGTTCAACGTTGGTGAACTTGGCGTTTTCACTTGATAGAATTGTTCCTTCTTTTCATTTGCTGTCGATGGTAGCTCAACTTGAGACATATAAAATTTTTCCCTTGCTTCGACTGACAGCCCTCTAAGACTTTCCTTACCATAAA